GAATGGGGAGGGAGAAAAAAAGAGGAAAGGAGAATAAGGAGAAGAAATGGAAGAGCGACAAGAAGTAAGAGAAGAATAAGAAAACTGATAGATGAAATAGGAAGAAGAAGAGGAAAAGGATTAGAAAGAAGGAAAAAAAAGAAAAAAGAAAAAAAAGAGAAAAACAACACGCAAGAACGAGAAAGGAAACTTGAGGATCTGGAAGAGGAAAGGGGAAACATGGAAAAGGAAAAGGGGGAAAAAAGAGAAAAAAAAGAAAAGGAGAAGAGGAAATGGAGAGGAAGGAAACATGGAAAAGGGAAGAAGGGGAAAGAGAGAAAAAAAGAAAAGGAAGAGAGGAAATGAAGAGGAAAGAAGGAAGGAAACATGGAAAAAGGGAAAAGGGGAAAAAAGAAAAAAAAGAAAACGGAGAAGAGAAATAAGAGAAGAAAGGGAAACATGGAAAAAAAGGGAAAAGGGGAAAGAGAAAAAAAAAAAAAAGAGAAAGAAGAAATGGAGAGGAAGGGGAAACATGGAAAAAGGAAGAAGGGGAAAAAGAAAAAAAGAAAACGGAGAAGAGGAAATGGAGAGGAAGGGGAAACATGGAAAGGGAGAAAGGGGAAAGAGAAAAAAAGAAAAGGGAGAAGAGGAAATGTTAGAGACGGGCGTGCGGGAGGTCTTTCTTCAGCCGGGTCTTGAATAGCCAGATCAAGTGGCACTGACAATGAGGGCCGTAAATAAAGTGTTTTTTTCTTTTCTCTTCTCTTCTCTTCTTTTGCCTTCCCTTCCCTTCCCTTCCCTTCCCTTCCCTCCCTTCCCTTCCTCTTCTCTTCTCTTCTCTTCTCTTTCTTCTCTTCTCTTCTCTTCCCTTCCCTTCCCTTCCCTTCCCTTCCCTTCCCTTCCTCCCTTCCCTTCCCTTCCCTTCCCTTCCCTTCCCTTCCCTTCCCTTCTCTTCTCTTCTTTTCTTTTCTTTTCTTTTCTTTTCTTTTCTCTTCTCTTCTCTTCTTTTGCCTATCTCCATCTTTCCTTAAGTGTCAAGCCGTGACACCGGAATGGCAGCTCGCGTCCCTGAAGCCTTATCGTAATAATAAAGACGACAGCACTTACTACCAAAGCTCACGCTACTTATGAGAATACTTATAATAGTAGCCTTGATGGTTGATAAAAGATCCGGGGCCAGAAACACAGGTTTCTTCCGCGCTGACGACCCTCGGCGCTGTCTTGCGGCCGGTTCAGAAGCGAAAAAGCACCCCTTCCTCTTGCAGGCTCAGCGTGCGGCCGCATAAACGAGCGTGGCAAACCGAACACAGATACGCAGTACGTCGGCTGTAGGTAACAATAGCCATGAACTCACCGCTATCATAAGTCAGACGTGTGCACCCCTTCTCTGTGTGTGCGTGTGTGCGTGCGTGTGTGCTTTTTGCGCCTCATCCAGCGCGAGGTTGATGGAGTAATAATACTCTATCGATGTGTTATTCCCCGCCACGCCCGTGTACGTTATTGCTGTGTGTACGCAAGTTGTTACGCAAGCGAGCGAGCGGGAGTCCGATCGTCACCTTTAAGACCGGATGTCTCTCTCGGGCCGGCGGCTGCGGGCGGGTTTTTTTTTTTGTCGCGGGCGGCGGGGCGGTGTCTTGCGGGTTAAGCGGTTCACAGGGGAAGTGTCTGATTTGATCCAGGTTCTGTGGGTTCTACGAATGTTTATTTTTTCTTTCCTTTTTTTTATGTGTTTGTCTCTGCGCTCCTCATCGTTTTTTTTTCCTTTTCCCCTTACTCTCTCATTCTTTTCCTATTCTCCTCCGTCTCTCCCTCTCCCTCCCTCCCTCCTTCTTGCTTTTTTCTTTTCTTTCTTCCTTCTTTACCTCCTCCCTCCCTCCCTTCCTTCCTTTCCTTCCTTCCTTCCTTCCTTCCTTCCTTCGTTCCTTCGTTCCTTCACCCTCCCTTCCTTCCTTCCTTCCTCACTCCCTCCCTTCCTTCCTCACTCCCTCCCTTCTTCCTTCCTTCCTTCCTTCTCTCTCTGTAGCCCTCCCCCTTTCTCTCTGTTTCCACACCTTCCCGCCATGCAATTCGTTCACTCGACAGTCACACACGCGGACACAGTCTAGTTCAGTGCGTTGCGAAGGACCGCACTCGCGCATACACACATTTCCCTTTTCTCTAACATCATCGACACGAAGACAGCAACAGCATCAGGTTGGGAAAGGGAGAGGAGGAGGAGGAGGAGGAGGAGGAGGAGGAGGAGGAGGTGGGGTTTAGGGGGAGAGGAAGAGAAGGAGAGGGGGGGGGGAGTACGGGTGAAGCTGAGGGAGAGAGAGAGAGAGACAGCGAGACGGGGTGTAACCGCGTCAGTCGTGTATTGGCTGCGAGAGGGTGAGGGTGTGTGTGTGTGTCTGCTGGTTCGCTTGGCTGGCGGGGCGTTTGTTGTTGCCTTTGGTCTTCGCGCGCTTGGAAACGTTTCTCGCCTTGTGATTTGCGACGTTTTTACTCGTTATTTCTCCTGCCTGTGATCATTTTTTTTTTT